AAGAGATAGTGTTGCCAATGGCGCAAAGCACGCGCCAGCGCATTAAATTCAACATCATACGTGTTATATCTCAATCGGGAGCCCGACAACTTCTCACTGAAGAATGAAATCGGGCGGCTGTCCTTGCTAAGTACAACACCAAGAACCGGTGAGTGAGTCAACTTGCTCTTGATGAGAGCAAAGGCCTCCTCGATTGAATCCGTCCAGATAAGTCTTCCCCGTGAAGCAGCTCGTGATCGGAGCCATGATGGAATTGAAATGAGAAATGAACCGTCTATAGAACGAAGCTAAGCCATGAAAGTTGCGTGCCTCCGTGAAAGTAGTCGGTGCGGGCCAAGCACGAACGACTTCCACCTTGTTGTCGTCCACACGTATCCCTGTTCCGGAGATCACAAAGACCAAAAATAGAACCGGGTCCACCATGAAAAGGCACTTCTTCAGGGCTGCATAAAAAGACTCAGCCCGAAGAATAAGTAAAACTTCTCGAACGTGCTCCAAATGCTCCTCCACAGTGCGGCTATAAATAAGTATGTCGTAGAATAAACGACAACACACCTCCCAATAAGATCTTGTAGTATCTGATTCATAATGCGCATAAAAGTACTTGGAGCATTCGAAAGACGAAAGGCATAACCATCCACTCAAAAAGACCCTCCCGAATTTTAAAGGTTGTCTTCCACTCATCCTCTGGTCGAACTCGAATCTGGTGATACCCACTACAAAGATCCAGTTTGGTAAAGATAGCGGCACCGTGCAACTGATCAAGCAGGTCATATAAACGAGGAATAGAAAAACGGTACCTGACAGTAATCTTGTTGATTGTCTGACTGTCCACACACATACGCCATGCTCTGTCTTTCTTCGGGATCACCAAGGCCGGTACAGCACATGGACTCAGACTCCGGCGAACAACACCATGCTGAAGGAGCTCCTCCACCTGACGACGAAGCTCCTCGTGTTCTATCGGGCTCATCCGGTAGTGTGGTCGGTGTGGCAATGAAGCCCCTGGAATCAAGTCAATCTGATGTTGAATATCTCGTAGTGGCAGTAAACCCGGAGCAAGCTCTGAGGGGAATACATCAGCAAACTCAGAAAGAAGAGACTGGATAGCCTCGGGTGGCTCGTGAACTCCAGTCGTGTCGGACCCAAACAATAAAATAACAAATGGTGCTGATTGCATCTCAACCTCAAAGGCTGCCCGGGAAAGAAAAAGAATAGTCGAAGAACCAACTGGTGGCGAAGGACGTTTTGGACTAGGATGCAAAATAATTCGAACACCGGCGAAAGTGAAGCTGTAAGTGTTACGTCTCCAGTCAAGAGTAGCAGCCATGTCATACTGCCAAGGTCTGTCAAGTAACAAGTGGCATGCATCCATGGGCACCACATCACACCACACTTGGTCCCGGTATGTAGCCCCAATCGCCAAAGAAATAAGAGCCCGACGGTCAACAGTAATAGCACGGTCACGGTGAATCCATGCCAATTTGTAAGGGTGAGGATGGGGCTCGCTCGAAAGCCCCAATTTTGTCAACGCATCCTGTGAAATAACATTTTCAGAAGAACCAGGGTCAATAATAAAGCGGCATACTTTGTCACCAATTGTGCAAGTCGACTTGAAATTCTGATGGCGCTCCACAGGCTCATCAACGGGAGAATGAGGTGTCAAACACACCCGTCGAACAACAAGTGTCGAGCCCACATTCCCGCTATGATGTTCCTCGCTCAACCCGGGCTCCACATAAAAAGAGGGGGGCCATCATAATCGGCAGACACCTCATGTTCCCCACCATCCTCAGTAAATAACCCAAGTGATGTCAAACCCCGTGGACAGGATGACCGGCGATGGCTAAGCTAACCAAAACACCGTAGCCCGCCACCCGGACGCTGACCGGTCGCCGCTGGAGGTGGTCCACCCATGCCCGGTTGTCGTTGGTTTCCGGTCCCGTCAATGGAAACGTCCAGGTCCCGTCGTGTGGCCCGCGCCAACCGCCACCGACGGTGTAAAGCGGCTAGGCTGTTGTGGCCCACCGGTAGCAGGTCCTGCTCGCGTGGATGAAGGAAATGTCGAGCCTATTTTCCGAGCTAATTGCTGCTCAACAAGACGGGCCCTTTGATGGGCATCAGAAACAGTCTCCGGCCGGAATAAATTTAACATGTCCTTAATGACTATTCACAACCCACTGACATATCGTGAAATCAATTGGGACTTTGTCTCACGGACCTCAACACTAGTTAGAAGCTGATAAAACTCGTGCGCGTAGTCATCAACCGAACGAGTACCCTGTCTCAAATTGTGCAGCTGCTGATAAACGATGTTATCATAGTTAAAGCGCAAAAACTCATCCTCCACATACTTACAAAATTTCATCCAAGAAACATTTGGCGACTTCCTTTGACGATGTCGCATACTCGTGATATGCATCCACCAAGTCGCAGCTCGCCCACGAAAACGAGTAGCAACAAAGGCGACACGCCTATCCTCTGGGACCGCCTTGAAAGCCAATATTCGACTCCACAGCAGCCCACCAATCAACAAAATC